ACCCCACCGCCGTCGAGCATCATGACCAGAGAGCCGCCACCTGCTGCCACCGGGCCTCCGCCGGTGGACGAGTTCGCCGCCGATTACGATGCCAGTGCTCGTACCTGGCCTCCGGTAGGGACCACGCCGACCTTTTCTTGGGAGCTGCTGCCTCCGGTTGTGTGGTTGTTGACGACAGGCGGCAGGAGGCCGGGCCTCCAGCGGCGGTTGAATGTGATATTTGATATTACAGAGGCTTAATTTCTTTCTTTTTTTTTTCTGATTTTGTTTTATTAGGGCTTATTTGTGAGAATTAGACATTTAATAATGCTCTTGGTGCAATTTACAACATTTAGTATATTTACACATTAGTATGTGGTACTTTTGTAATTTAGTAATAATTTAATAAATACATATTATTTGTTAATGGTATATATAATACACAATATTATGTGTTAATATACACATAAAAAATCACCTCTTACTTTATGAAATCATAAAATTAACTGGCAGATCGATATAATTAAATTTTTTTTTTACGATACGTTATTGTTCATTCGGGCAATCACTAGTGTGCACTTAGTCTAACACGATTGTGCAATTTGTATCACGGCGACATTAAATACATTTTGCAATTTTTTTAACTTTGTAGCACAATTATTATGTAAATTAAACAAATTTGGTTTGTTTGATTTCTTTATTGAATTAACCCAAAAAATAAATAATTAATATTTTATAAATAATAATACTTTATATATCATTATTTATTTTTTCGTTTAGTATGTAATTACTTATTTAATATTTTATATTGTCATTTATTTTTTCTATTCTTGTTTTTAGTTTTCATTGTAATGTTGATGTGTTCGACAAAATATCCTTATAGTATTTTTGGTAGGGAAGGTAAAGTCTTCTTTAACATTCTGATTAATGCTTTAAGATTTTAGTCGGGAAAGTCAAGCTCTTTAATATGAATATATGCTTCAAAGGTCAGGCACTCCTACTATGACGAACATTGAAGATTTCACAAATACATACCAAGCTCGGCTTGATGAAGCCGAAGGTACTAAATCCATTCCTGTAAACATATTTCTCAAGGTTATTCATTGACTATGTTATTCTTCAATTGCTTATTTTTTAATTGTCTTCAAATAAAATTAGACTTGGCTCCTGCACGGTCTTAACCATGTCTTTAAAAACGTGTCTAGGGTTAGTAAACTATATCTTGATCTATTTTGCAGGTTCCTCTCCCGGCGTTGAGAGGGTCGTCCGAATCCCAAAAGAAACCTTCAATTATGAATGCCATAATGATATACTTTCAACCCACCCTTGATGTTTGCATTTCTGTGCACTTAATGGAAGTTAAATGTTGTAGCTTCAACCGATAATTTGTTGTTTGTGAGCACCAAAATGATTTATATGGCGTAGGAATTTATCAATATATCCAAATGCTTTTCCAACAATCGTAAAAAATTAAATACATTTTAACTAATCTTGGTGGTTACATTACAGAATGACTGCTATCTATATGATAGAGAAGGATTCGAATCCCTGATTTTCTTATTGATACTTCGGCTCTGAAGACCGACTCTTTCAACTGCTCAAACATCCATGTTCTTCACGCTTTGTAGTACGTGCTATCTATCCGCACACGACAGGTTTCCGACTGAAGTATCAGGCTAAGTTTTCTTCACCTTATTTTTGTTTGCTATTTTTTTCCCTTTTCATGGACTGAAATGAAGGGGTAGGCGTTTGGTGAAGAAAAAAGAAATAGAAAAAGTGAATGACGATGGATATTGTATTAGAATTAATCCGACTAGTATAATTTGTTGGGAGCAGCCAGTTTGGACTCCTTCCAAATAATGTGGATTTTTTATTATTTTTTTAATAATATATGATACACGAATATGTCACTGCATTTTTCCTATGACTACTTATGGTTATGCCTTTTTGTTTTAAAGGTACATTAATTTACTAGATGTTTTGGTTTCAAATAGAATGTTTATTATACTTTTTTTTATTTATTTTTTGGTTATTTTGGAATTTAGGTAATCCTTGCTAGAAGCATTGCTCTTTCTAGGTGGATAAAGAAAGATGAAAGTTGCAGGTTTTTGGAAATGCATGACTAGCAGCAATTTGGCCAATCATATGTCTGAATTATAAGTCTTGTATCAAAGAACAAGGTGTTTTTACTGTTGCATTATTTGGTTCACCCACCCTCATTAACTTGACAGGGTATGCTAAGATAGATTTATGTAGTTTGTGTGTTTTTAAAACTTTTGTCTATTTTCTGTAGAATGAATTATTTAGTGACGCCTGAATATCTTTATTTTATGAGAAGAATATTGATTGAGCTAAATGAAAAATGGACAACTACGTCCGCCTAAAAAAAACAGTAATGTCAATCTCAATCGAAATATCTTGATGATATTTATTGTCCTATTTTGGGTTCTTTTGTTAATCTGTGTATAGCTGATTGGTGGGTCGTAGTGCATTCCCTGGGATGTAGCTAATTGTCTTTTTTTTTTTTTTTTTTACATTGTCCTGAGGTCATCTTGATGTGATAAAATTTTCTAATTTCCAGGTGGAGGTGGCTTGATGTTTATAATCGGCAATAGCAGTGGAGGATTTGTTTGGCTGCATTCACTTGAAAATTATGAGGTAATGAAGAGTAAATCCACATTGGGAGTGTGAGCTTCATGTTTGTTAATTAAACTTTGCATCTTTGAAGGTGGTGGAGTAACAAGCTTTCTTTATGGAATATAGATGCCTATGACTTTTGTACATATACACTTTATCTTTAGATTGCAATAATTATATGCATTTACTAAATGTTTGATATTGATTGGAATGTCATGTGATGTTTGTTTTATTTTATAAGCTTTTCAGTCATTCTTTTGGTAATTAACTCATATTCCATTCTATTTGTTTTCTTTGAACATAATTCACATATTACAAGTGTATTCAAATGTTCATGAAATTACTTATCAAATATATATTTAAAATAATTAACGTGGGCCAGCCGTGCTATGCACGGCGATAGCCTTCTAGTATTATTAATGGTATATATAATGCACAATATTATGTGTTAATATACACATAAAAAATCACCTCTTACTTTATGAAATCATAAAATTAACTGGCAGATCGATATAATTAATTTTTTTTTTTTTACGATACGTTATTGTTCATTCGGGAAATCACTAGTGTGCACTTAGTCTAACACGATTGTGCAATTTGTATCACGGCGACATTAAATACATTTTGCAATTTTTTTAACTTTGTAGCACAATTAATATGTAAATTAAACAAATTTGGTTTGTTTGATTTCTTAATTGAATTAACCTAAGAAATAAATAATTAATATTTTATAAATAATAATACTTTATATATCATTATTTATTTTTTCGTTTAGTATGTAATTACTTATTTAATATTTTATATTGTCATTTATTTAAAATACATAAAATATATAGACAAAACATAAAAGAATATCTTTTATACAGCTCATCCGTTTATTTTATTTTATTTTTTTGTGTATGTAAATAAAGTTGAATTTTGACCGAAATAACCAAAATTTTATTGTTTGCAAAAATGCATATTGTTATGGTAATGTGCATTCTCGAACGAACCAGTGTGCATTCGTTTGAACATTATTGTGCAGTCTGGTATCATTAATGCGCATCTTGATTTATACTATTATGAATTTTGCAATTTGATTTTTTTTACGTGTAAATCTACACTAAAATTGACCCGAAATAAGTTACTATTTATAATGTAAAAATATATTTAGTATTTTTATATTTTATTTAATATCTTATATCATTTTTGGTTAACGTATAGTATATATATGTATAAAAAATAAATTTGAAAATAATATGTTTTTATATATTTTTATAAATTACATATTTCACCTATGTACTAAATTGAAATATAACCAAACTATCATATTTAACCCACTCACAACGGATGTATTTTCAACAAATTTAGTCGATCAATTTTTCGTCGATATAGTGCAATTTGAAATTCACTAATGTGCAGTCCATCTAACACTAATGTGTATTCGAGTTGCATTATTATTATGATTTTTTCTTCAAACTAAGCTAAAAATTAAAATAATCGATTTGTTTGATTGGTTAATTGAATTAGCCTATATTATCTAATTAATTCATAATTTACGTTACGAAAATTATATTTAACATGTTTAATTTTATTTCATATTATTTTTTTGTTGTAAAGACCTCCAAAATATATTTATTTATATAAAAAATAACACATTTTTATATCGTCCGATCGTTCGGATATTTAAAACAATAAAGCTGACATTGAATCGAGATAACCAAAATTTCAAAAGTACAAAAAAAAATTGAACCAAAATATAAAGTACGAACCAAAACTTTGTCTGGTTGTTTAGAACGCTATAGTGCAGTGTGTTAGTCACAAATGTGCAATCTATCTAACACTAATGTGCACTCGTTCAACTATTTTTATAAAAATATCTTCAATATTTTAATATTTTTATTTACTATTATTTAAATTTTATTGAAAAATAAAAAAAAATATGTATGTTATAATGTATAATTTAAATAATAAAATCGATTTATTATTTCTATAACAAATTATATTTATTATAATAATTTTTATTTAACCTTTTATATTATTTTTGTTTTAACATATATAATACATGTATATAACAAAAATATATAAATTAGTATTTTTTATAAATTACAGATTTGGCCCCTGGACCAAATTGAAATATATATAAAATATCTAATATTGCAGGCAAGCCCTTGAGTTATATCTAATTTACAAATCTAAGCCTCCATCAAGTCCATGGTGCGACAGAGCCCTTTGTCACACCACTCTGTCGCTGCCGTGTGAGCCGACGCGACTGTCGTCGTCGCCGCCGCGTTCAACCGCAGTGTATGTGTGTGTGTCCGTGGCGACTACCAGATTTTTGTGATGATTGTCGGTGGCAAGATGCTCGGATTCGGCTAAGGTGCGGCTGCGGTGAGCCGCTCTGGCTAGTGGTCATCCCGACAGAGGTTTTTCCGAAAAAGGTGGCGGCGGAGGGAGTATGTGAATCGGATTGTGTGTGTGTCCGCCGGTGAGGCACTGGCCGCCAGGTACAACCGCTTGCGCAGGGAAAGCCGGCGGAGACATATGAACTATGAAATCGATGTGACGAGGCGTTGCGTTGGGAATGTGCGGCGGCGGAAGTAACGCCGGTGGGTGGCCGGCGGAGGGAGTTGAGCGGTCGGCGAATCGGCGTGAATCTCAATTTTTTTCTTTTTCACGAATCTCAATTT